GGTTTAAGGTTTAGGGTTGCGGGTTTAGGGTCTAGGGTTGAGGGTTTAGGGTTTCCCAAATTTGGGGGGTTCCCTCAAAGGGTTTTGAGGGGCTATAGAGGTGTATATAGGGGAACATACGGTTTAGGGATTAGGCTTTGTAGGGAAACTACCATGACACATTGCCGTGAAAGTGACAATGCTAAGTTTAAGCGAGACTAAGAGTAACAATAATCAAAATACGGATGGCAACTCGATGAGAAGGCTTCTTCACAGTTGGAAATCAACAACTACAACGACTTCGACGAGGATGAGGAGGTTGAGAAGGATGGAGGAGGATGAGGAGGTGGAGAGAAGGAGGATGTCGATATAATTTGTAACGCATCATGAATGCCATCGCGTTGCTTTCTTCCGAGCCGCCGGATGGCTTTGCCTCCGCAGAACTTCGTGTGTCAACTAAAGTCTAGACAATGCCTTTAAGCCCAGTACTCCTCTGCTCGTCACACACCTACCCCAAAATGGCCCCAAAATCTGTAATCCCTGCACGTCCAACATCATCTCTACATGCTTTCCGCAACTAAATCCTACACCCCACTGCATGCAAACTCAAACCAGGGATTTCTTCTTAAGGTCCATCTACAATGGTTCACTGCACTCTTGTGAAGGGACCTTCTAACATGTGTCTCGGCAGCCACTTAACGATTTTCAGGCCATCGTTGGACGACCTGCTTTGACGTGCTCCAGTTTTGACTTCGAGCATCCCCACCCTAAAGCAAATGCTGTGGAGTTCGGCATTGCAAGGGCTGGCCACGCCAAGGACACTTTGCCATTGAGCACTGCAGAAACATTGTGGGTCAGGGCACCGCAGGGATACTGTGGGGTGGGGCATCTGCAGGGATACTCTGCTGTTGGGCGCAACAGAAATACTCTGCGGTTGTGATCTGCGGTTGGGCACTGCTTAGCGGTTGGGCACTGCAGGGATACTCTGCGGTTGGGCATTGCGGGGATACTCAGCGGTTGGGCAGTGCAGCGATACTCTGCGTTTGGGCACTGCAGGGAAACTCAGCGGTTGGGCACTGCAGAGATACTCTGCGGTTGGGCAATGCAGGGATACGTTGCCATTGAGCACTGCAGCCAGACTCCATGCGGAGGGCGGGGACAACATAGACTTTGAAAATCTAACAACCCCACAGTGAGGGTGGGGAATAAACATATAGATATAGATATACGAAACTCTGACCCTAAACCCTAAACCCCAAACCTAAGCCCTAAACCCCAACTCTAAGCGCATCTAAGCCCTAAACCCCAACCCTAAGCCCAAATATATACATATATATATATAGAACCAAGGCAGAGACAAAAGGTAGGTACATGGGGCGGGGCACCAT